TTCCATAGTCATATGCTTATATTACCTCAAGAAAAAATATTATTTTCCAAGTTAGAAACAACAGTGTCCAAAAAGAGGATCATTATTTGTTTGGGATATGGATTTGTGAAAGTTATAGATTTAGTTGTCATCACTGTCCATAATCAATACAGAAATTTTGTGTCTGGAAACAACATTGTTATAAGAAGCAATATTCCCACAATTGTTATCATACTGCTGCTCATTTTTTAGGGAGTCATTTGATAAAGACAAGTATGTTTACTATAAATGCATTGGATTCCTTTTTAAAGGAAAAGCATGAGACACTACATTAGGTATTTTCTCCTGTGGTGAATTTACTGTCATATAAAGAGATTAAAGATTGCTAAGTGTTTCCTAAATTTAATTATTTACCTACTGTGAAACAGCTTTCTCTGGAATCTTTCAGACCTACAAAACATCTTTATTCATATATATTGTGGCTTGTAAGCATTTATTGAATAAAGTCTAAATATTGCTCTTAATTATAAAAGAAATTTATAGCCAGCCAAAGCTCCAAATATCAGCTAAATGGTCATTGCACAGCAAAATACCCACTTCTAAAACTTAAAAAAAGCAAATACCTTAACCCAAATACATGTAAAAATAAGCAATTCTTCAATAAATAGATTTTTTTTTAATACAAGTGCATTATAAAACAAGAGAGTTGGTATAAGAATTATTGGAGTTTGTTTCAAATACAAAAATCACCATCCGTGAGAGATTTCTTAATTATAAAAATAAAGGTGGTTTATGTAGTTTTTGGTATATGTTGGGCTGATCCAAATAAGGAGATCTACCAGTAGAAGTAGGTTTTACATACATGCTGCTCACTGAATCAGGAATCAACTGTGCATTCGGATGTTGATCCGGATGAAGATACTGCCCATCTGCAGTTCCGTGTTTCCAGTTGGATGTGAATTTGAATATATGCTAGTCATATTCGGGCAAAACCAAATCGAGATTTCAGTCTGGGCAAATAATTCCTAGGGCAGTGTCAGCTGACAGTATTACAGAAGATAGATAATTATGTCAGTACAATCATTCCTGTTTGGTCAGTATTCTGGAGAAATTCTTCCCAAAGTAGAATGTGTTCATTCATTATCCTGGCCTGGTCTCTAAAAAGAAACATTTAAAAAAAATCTCAATAGTTAACACTATTTTCTAAATTAATTGTGTTGGTGACTTCAGATATATATTTCAGCAATCTGATTGGGTAGCAACAGGTAACGTCTATAATTTAAGTTATTTGCTCAGATGTTGGGAAATGTAATTCTATTGTTATTCAACTTCCTTACTAAACTACATTTCCCAGTTTTTTTTCTGGAAAAAACTCTGAGCTTCTGTTTCTGAAGTGCTTAGGATGCAATTTAATGGATCATCCATATACTCCATTCCAAAGAACACAACTGCCTTTCCTTGAGCAAGATGTAAGATTAAAGTTTTCTACGCATTTTACATTTGCAAACCCTGCAGGAGTTGAACAAGTAAAGCAAAGCAAAGCAAATAGGAACAGTGAAATCAATTCCTAACTGCTCTGAGATGTGAACTGTAATGAATACTAATATACAGAGACTTTCTACCAAGATTTTATAACCCCTTTCCACAAATCTAATGGCTATATAGGCACAATATATAGAAAAACAGTAGACTAGCAGAACAGAATTTTATACTCCTAAATATGCATTCTTAAATAAATATGGTTATCAGATGTGACATGCAAATATCCAGTTGAGCCACTAGATGGCAGCAAAAAGATGCAGAAAATGTCCAACTCTTTGCTGTGATCTAGAGGTCTTTTAGATTTTTGCTACCCAAATCTGACAGCTATTCTAGCAAAAGACTTGTCACTCTTAGAAATAAAGCACTTGTGGGGACAAATATTAATAATGTGATTGATTGATTGATTGATAATAATAAATTGCAAACTCTATCTCAATTCCTTCAAATCTCAAAGCTATCAGAACAGTGTGGGGACACAAAGCACAGAATATATTTTTTTTAAAAAATCACAGGGTAAATGATGTACTTAAAGCCCTACTCTTTCTACCCATTCTCAACCACAAATATATCTGTGTTAGCATTATGAGAAAAACTTTGGCTAGTTCTCTCATGTGCAGAATTCTGCTCTCAGAAGCAGAAGGCTTTCGTCTGCATCAACTTCGTATTTTTGAAGACTCTTTATGGCAGGAACAGTGGGTTAAATGCAAGACACAGAGATCTAGTGAAATCTATCTTCCCATCTCTCCTGGAATTTGCAGGAAACCAGGAATCCAAGTCCTTTGTTACCTTCCTAAAATCTAGAACAAGCAATACTTTCCTGAGGACAGAAGCTTTTGTGACATTCTGCTGAAGTTCAGATTTAGCTTCAACAAGCCTATTTAGCTGTCTCTGTTTTGAAATTATTCAGACTTTGTTAAGAGCAATATAACCTGTGAAATAATGTCTGCCAGAGACAAGGATGCCTTATATCTACTGCATTTTATGATTGACAATGGATTCTCTTCAAGACACTTATAACTACCTAGTTTTAAAACTAAGTTATACATCTTCTATAACAACTAAAAGATATACAATATAAGAAATAAAAGAAAAATTGTATCCGGGGGTGTACACTGTAATATCTGTATTTTCCCCTCTTTTTTGTATTTAGATTTATAAGTATGTTTGCATTATTTTTATTCAAAATAAAATAATTAAAAAATAATTAAAAAGAACTAAGTTATACATCTATAGCAGAACCATTAATCAGGTCAGCTTTTCCTTCCCAAATGCAGGTGCAAGACTGTAGTTTGAATAGAATCTCTCCCTAAAGTTGAGAAAATATCCTCCGTAAAGTTGAGAGAAAACTAACAGGTTAGAGGAAATTATTAATTTCCACTATAAGTGTCTAATGTTTAAACGGTTTATATATAGAATTCCCTTTATCACTGCAATTTAACCTGCAGCAGAGAAAGAGATCAGAAACAACAAGCGTGTCACACAATTCTGTCCAAAGAGCCTGCCTCTTACTATTTGAGAACTTCAACATGGAATGATTTTCAGGGTTCCACTGCATAGCAAATGAAAAAAGCTTACCATGAATCTGTGTCATTATGTCTTTTCTTATTACATCTCATAAATTCTGCAGCTTCGCCCCCTTTTTGGAGAAAAGAGGATCCATTCTGTGAGCAGAACATCACCCTGCACAATAAACAGAACCGCTGAAGTAGCTATAAACGTATCTTCTAAAAAGCCGTATTTCATTATCTCAACTATATCTTAAATCTAAAATAGAATTTCTGACAAGGCATTGTTTAACTGATAGGTTAGTCCAAAACTATAAAAGAACAATATCTACTATATATGTTTTTATAATATTCATTTGCAGTTAGAGGAGTATTTAGTATATATGCCTAGAACTGTGAAGGTGAGACATTACAAATAGGAAATCATTATCAGCAAATCATTCATAGCCTACAAGCAAAAGAAGATGTATAAATACATGCAGAATCAATAACTCAATCTAATCCCATATATTAAATACAAAAAAAAATCCACAAAATGCATAATGTACCACATATCTGAAAAAACTAGGCATGTGCATATTTCAAGGCATTTGCTCTACAGCTTCTCCATCAGTTTTAGTAATTCTGGATCAATTTTACTATTCAAGAAAATTTCCTATCCTCCCATGTAGACCAAAGCAATTACAAGGTTGTTTGCGTTACCATAATATCTCTGTACCATGGAATAATATATCTGTACCATGTGCAAAAAGATACTTCCAACATCACTTTTGTTTGTTTACTATGCACCTAGTACTCTAGAAAACATAGCATTACTTCTAAGACACAGCTGAGGATTGGAAAATTGTCATACTGCGTCACAGAATTGAAAGAGAGAGTGAATTATTATAGTAGCAGCAATAAATTAAAAGTCAGTGTTATTTATAGTGATTCGAAGATGCTATGTGAGTTGAAACTAAAGCATTCTGCTTGTGGAATAGGGGATTTGCCATGTCCTCTTCTTTGTTGTATCTCCTCCTATTTGCATATGTAAGCTGTTAATGGAAAGAGAAGACAATGGAAAACATATTCTCCTGCATGAAGTAAGTGCCTTGGCTAAGGAAAAACACTCCTTGTAATTCTCCAGTTCCAAATCACAAGAAACTCTTCCTATAAAAATATACCAAGAAATGTTCTTTATCATTATATTCATATGGGATTATCTTTCAGAAAACTCTGGATACAACTGAATCCAAGAGAAAAGATAATCAGTAATTTTGGATGGTGACAAAATGATTGACCACAAAAAAGAAAGAAAGTAAACTTACTTTTTCTGGGTTTCTCCGGCCTTGATTCTAAGTACTCGTATGCTAAATTCAGGGGTATCCCACCATCTCAAACTGAAAAAAGACTCTTTTTCCCACTGAAGTTTTACTATAAGCAGTTCTCCAATATCAACTTCGGTATATACCAGGAAGGAACTTGTTTTGTTAGTGGAGATCTCAGGCCTGTTTTAAAAAAGAAACCACATACAAGTTCAGTCAGTGCTTGTCTTCAACTCACCTCAGGAGCCTATTCCTTTATCAGAGAAAGTGAAGAAAAGGTTTTTATTCATAGAATATAACAAAACCTTTTAATTAGAAGCAGCAAAATTGTATCATAAAAATGATATACCCTCCTTGTAAATCCAGGGAATCCTGATGGCCTGTTAATGACCCAGATGCCATTTCCAACACCTTTTGTCTCTTGATTCTTACCTTCTAAATTTCAGATATATCACCCCAGCCTCCCACATCTTATCCTCCATTCCACCACTGTTGTCTCTCCTGGTTTCTCTAACCCTGGTTAGAAGCTACTACATCCTTCCAACTTTCTTCCTCGACCAGGTGAAAAGCCCTCCAAGACTTCTTTTTTCCTCATTACTTCATGTTCTCCTTCCACCTCAAGAAGTTCCTTGCATGAGTTATTTAATTAATTTAAATGTTGTTTTGACCTGACTTTTGAATCTTTTCAATACAGATTCACTCCTTTTCAGAGTAGTAGCCCTTGGCATGCCAGTTAAAAGCTGGAACAACCTGTGACCCAAGAGAAGTTGACCTCCTATTATAAATTTTCCTTTCCTTACTTAGTGTTCTCCTGATATGACACCACTCCAACTCTAGAGACTGCTGGAAATGGAAGAGCTGAACTCTCAATATATTTGGAGGTGACTAAGTTGGGGAAGTTGGTATAATCTTCGCAGAAGCAATGATAAGTTCAAAGAAGTATCTCAAGGAGCATCGGTTTTACTTATTTGTCCAATTTATATAGCTGCCCATTTCACAAAACATATGATTTTGGGCAGCTTACATTTATTTTTGCCAGTTTCAGCCCTCTTCTTTCCAGACCCCTTTCATTCACAAACAAGCACATGCCCATTAGATGCCAAGATAGTAGCTGGAAGGAGAACTATGGATGCAAACTGAGACAATTCAAATTAAAACATGCAACTGGTAATCCCATTCTTTATTACTCCTGCTAGATCCCATACCATATCAAACATGAGTGATAAGTGCCAGTATACTCACAGACTGCTCTTATATACTTTTACTTTCAAAAATTTATTGGGAAGCTAGAATGCACCAATAGACTTTCTTAGAAAAATAGCACATTTTCAACCAGGGAGCGTTTCACCAGATTGTCTTTTAATGACTGATTGGTTTGTAATATGTGATCATTAAACTAATTAGCACGCTTAATATTTTTTCCCAAAGGTACCATTAGCTACTTCTGCTGCTTAGCTTCTTGCCTTTGTATGCAAAAGGTCTAATCCCAGGGTCGTGAGGTGCATATCTGCATAATGGGAAATGCATAATGGGAAACCACCATTTGTACAGCTTTCTATATACAAATGTACATTTCCCAAACAGAGCAACTGGACACAATCAACTTTTCCTTCTTTATGCTTACAGGGTGTGTCAAAAGCCTAAATATTATCTCTTTTGTACACTTCCTTGAAAGGTGGCGAATAGGATAACAGTGACAGTCACTCATTTGTCTCATGCAGTACTTTTGTATAATATGCCAAAAATTATTTGAGAATTCTTTCTCGAAGACACTGGGAACAATTAAACGGAACAAAATGTACCACATCCTTCAGTGAAAACCCACAATATGCACATGCAGGAACCATTCTCAAACGACTCTGCAAGCAATGTCTGCAGCCAATAGGAAGACGTTTTAAAATGCAACAGTATATTGATAAATGTGTAGGCAGCTGTTTCAGCTGATACTCACATTACAAACGGTATGTTCTCACTTTCCTTCTTGGTGCCATAAAAAGAAATAAGAAATGGTTCGTTTCTCTTGGTAATGTTCCATTTTCCAAAAAAATGTATCTTGACCTGGTAATGAAAGACTGAGAGCAAAATATACAAAATATTATTAATAAATTCTGCTATTTTTGGTTTGGAAGGTGCTATTTTTGGTTTGGAAAGTACTACTTTTGTGCTTAAATATGCAAATTAATTTTATAGACAACGTTTCATAAGCTTTTTTAAAAAAATTGCCCTCCCCCACAAAATCTCAGATAATCTGCAAACAGGAGGGGGTGGTATAAAATGCTGATATTCTCCCTTCTAATTTCCCAAAGTCAGAAGATCAGATAAGATCAGATTATTATTTGGAAATTTTGTACTGCAATACTACGTATGGTTGTATGAGATAAAGGAATTTCCTCCTATTACAACTGATTAATTCTAAGTATAAATTATCTAATTCTGCTATAATGTAAAAAGCATTCAGTTATAAATACGAAGAGATCTTTTATTGTGAGATTTTGAAGTATATGTTTGACCCCCTCCAAAAAAACATTTATTATATGAAAATAATTTAAACGTTGCTACTTTAATTAATAGCACTGCAAATAACAGCATCAAATAACATCTTCCTATCTCAGTCCTTGGGAAGGACTTGGGTAGATAAAAATTTAGTCTAAACAGCTGGCTGATTGTTCAACAACCATAATACATACATTCTTGGGTCCTTGATTAGGACTTCAATTAAGTTTCTCAGTCTTAGATAGTGAATCTAACTGTAGATTACTCACACATAACAACAACCACCTAATATCAACAATGGATGGTCACATCAAGCTTTAGGAGTTGATATTGACTACTTTGGGAGATCCTGCCTCAGAATATCTGTATTCGCTTACAAAAAATCAGGTCACTGGATTGATATTGGTACTTACCATGCACCTGAGAAAACATTATCACACTTGATATCAACTGCTTAATTTTCAATTTCAATAGTAGGATTAATTAAAACAAGTGCTTAATTTGAATCTAATAATCCTATCGTTCTTAAATTTATAATGAACTCAGAATTTAATCAAGCAGAATGTTATTTCAATAAGGTCTGTGCAACACTTGAATTTGTTCTGAAATTAGTTTGTTTTCACATGTTATATTCCAGCACTCATGACTAAAAATAAGAGGTTTGCAACAGATCACTAATACCTTTATAAGGTGCGTGTGCACGGGTCTTTAGATACATTTTGCTGTTCTTCTTGCTTCCCACTCTTTTGACTTCATACCCTAAATTGTTGCAACGATTCTTTCGGCAGCTCAAGCAAAGCCCTCTTTCAAATGTTTCCTTTGAATTGCATCGGTACGCTATGATTGGCTTTTCTTCATACAAGAGGGAATCAATGAAGAGGAGGATGGAGCGTTCATGAGAGCATTTCACCAGCTGATCAGATTCTTAGGGGGAGAAAAATGACACAAGCTGTACTGTAATAGAGATGCATTACTATTGTTCAACAATTACAATAAGCAAATCTGCACCAGACATTCTCCAGTGTAACAAATTTGGTGAGAATTCTCTCACCCTCTGAAAAATGTTTCAGCTGTGAAGATAATGTTCATTTTTAGGCACACTGAATGCCATTGCTTTTCGTCACTGCTTCTTCAGTACTATTTCACCCTATTCCCCCTTTCCTGCATTAAATCTTATCAATAGTGTCCTCCACTTAGGAATTATACAATACTGGTGATAATAACCATAATGATCTATAATGATCTCATTGTGTTTGCTAGATAAGGAAGATATTAAGGACAGTCTAGACCAGGGGTGGGGAACTGTGACCTTTTTACAATCTATGGACTTCAACTCCCAGAATCCCTAAGCCATTCTGTGAGTTGACGTTCACAGATCGTAAAAGAGCCATAGTTACCCATTCCTGGTCTAGACTGAATATTTGAGCATAACAATGGGCATCTATAACTGACTACACATAGACAAGCACAACCAATAATATAATTTTGCCTTTTACATGCTAAACGTAGTTGGACTGGCTATCACTCAATCAAAGTATCACATGCATGCAATGAAAACTGAGCAGAACACTAACACATAACGCATCTTGAGTATCTCTGGAGCACTCTTTTACTTTTTATCTTCTGTAACTTGAGAAGGGAAGTTAGTCAAGACACAGATCAACACAGGTAGTCCTCAAATTATGATTAGTCCCTTAGCGACTGTTATAACCGTTATAACAGACACCCCACCCCCAAAAAAATGTCCCTTCAACCTCCCCGCTTTTGAGTGCTCAGCAACCAGCCAACATTTATGGCTGTTTGCAGCATCTCATAGTCACATAAATGCAATTTATGACATTTTCTGCTGGAAACTGGTGTTTAGTTCCTGTTTCTGGCAAAAAAATAATAATCATCTATTGTGGACAAGGGGTTACTTTAATGATGGATTCCTTTAACAACCATGGCAAAAAAATGTCATAAAATTGGTCATATGATGATTCACTAATAATCAGCATGATTTATGACTGTAATTCCAAGCCCCTGCTTAATTTGGAGCCAGTGTGAGCAAAACTCTGAGCCATATGAGGAACAAAAATAGAGACAAACACCCTCCTTAGTAGATGTTTCTATAATGAATCTAAGAAAGAGGAACTATTCCGAACAGAACTAACATTAATCATGAGTAGCAGCAGCCATGAAATCTTCATGTCAATGTCTTTGGCATTGGGGGGGGGGGGGGAAATCAGATTTGAAAACTTACCTTGAAAGCCTTTCTCGGCAATCATACGCAGGGCTTGAGCTAAATTGCAACCTGGCTGGAAGCTACCTCCATTGGGATAGATATCAATGTGGCCCACCGGCTGCTGTATGCCAATGCTGCGATCTGGGGAGCCTCTGATGTAAGTATGCAAGACATCCACAAAGACAGCATCGTCTGGAGAAAGGCGCCTAGATGCCTCGGCATATTCGAAGAGAGGCCCAGCAGGATCTAAACCTTAATGTGAAGACAAGAGTTTAAAATAGGAGTCACATTATTGGTCTTTTGGCCTTTGGATGCCACTGGTTGCCTCATGATAAAATTTGCAGACTTGGTCCACATTTTTGTTCATTATCGCTGCAAAATTTCCTATCAATATTGTTTTGGGTTTTACAACACTATCTGGCAAATGAGAAATTTACTTATATTTTGCCTTTATTCTTTTTATGAATAACTTGAGTCAATAAATATGCCTAGTGGTCCTTTCTCCTCCTATTTTCCCCATAACAACCATGAGAGGTAAGTTGGGCCAAAAACATGTGACTGGTCTAAATTCACCCAGCTGGCTTTCATGTTTAAGGCAGGACTAGAACAGGGGTCTCCAACCTTGCCAACTTTAAGACGTGTGGACTTCAACTCCCAGAATTCTGGCTGAGGAACTCTGGGAGTTGAAGTCCACACGTCTTAAAGTTGGCAAGGTTGGGGACCCCTGGACTAGAACTCCCGATCACCTAGTTTCTAGTCTGGTGCTTTAACCATTACACCAAACTGCTGTCCTGAAAAAAAAAGTAAGGAAGGAAGCAGGCTGTAGTTCTAGAATAAACAACAAGAATTCAGCTATAATTGGACTGTGCCCAAAAATAGCATGCAACCCTAGAATAATCAGTCAAAGTGAAACTTAAGATACTCTATTAAAAAAAACATTCATAAAAATCTAGCTAATCCTTGGCTTACAACCATTTATTTAGTGACCACCAACAGCACTGGGGAAAAAGTGACTTATGACCATTTTTCATGCCTGTAACTGCCAGTCACGTGATCAAAATTCTGACTTTTGGCACCTGGTGGGTATGTATAGTGGTTGCAGTGTCCTGGGGTCACATGATCATCTTTTGTGACAAACAAAGTCAATGGGGAAATTACCTTACCTTATTTTAGATTACCTTAACAACTATGTTACTAAACTAACAACCGCAATGATTCACTTAACAACTGTGACAAGAAAAGTTGTAAAATGGGACAAAATTCACTTAACTGTCTTGCTTAGCAATGAAAATTTTGGGCTTAATTGTGGTTATAAGTCAATGGCCACCTGTAGTGGTTATTTATTTATTTAGCTGTACCATACACAAAGTAAGATAAATGCTTTAACGTTTCAATGTTATTTCAAAAAATTCAAATGCAAAGAAGTTAAAAGAAAAAAGTATGAAAAACTTCTCACTGATACAGAACAAAACCATTAAAGGTTTGTGCAAATGTTACATAAATGCTCTAAATATTTCTGAAATGTCAAGTACCTCTTCTAAAAAAAATTCAATTTCCAGCATTTATAAATGAATCGCACAATTGTCTACAGAGGCAATTAATTCCAAAGTTATAATTAAGGCCTCAAATAAGTACCCATTTAAATAGAAAGCTTAAGATTGCCATCCAAATAGCTTATTTTACAGGTCATGTGTTGCTTTTATAATGGTGGAAATCCTCAGTTCATAAATCCCACTGAAGCCAATGACTTCCCAGGGCAAAGACTGCCACTAAGGCACTTACTTTTTTGTTTTGTTTTTTTATTTTTGAGAAAGAGGAGGAGGATGGTTTTTAACACACAATGGCTCTTTACAATCTCGAGGGGAAAGCAATGGTATGTATGCTGGAAAACACAGTTTTCATTAGCTCCTCATTTTACAATAGCTGCTATCAACATATGCCAGAATTCTACGTTAAAGTATTTAGTGCTTTGAAAGACTCATTCTACTTCCTCTTCTAATTATTATTCTGATAGCAATAATGATTTGCTTACCTGTAATTCTATTAATCTTTTTATTAGTCAGACTTCCAGCAATGCCAGCAACATGGGCACCAAGGCTGTACCCCAGCAAATGGACTTTGTCAAGAGAATAACCAAACTGCTCCTGAGAATAATCATTTTTTAAAAGATTAAGCTTCAAATGCAAACTTTAACTTGCTTCTTAGTCAAAAAATAAAGTATCAGCTTCACTTCAAGGACAAAAATATTATAGTAACAGAAGGAAATCTGCATTGTTTTATATAAGATGCAAATACATAAAAATCTACAAAACTTGAGAGCAGCAAAAGAAAAGTGGATTTTTTAAAAAAGGATTGTGTGCTGAAAGCATTCAGAAAGACTTCTAAAGCCAGAGATACTTTTTCTAAATTATTGATAACTCAGATTTCTCCATCAACACAATGCCCAAAGCAGCACATTTTATTTTATTTTTTAAAAAGTTTAGGTATACATAGAACATTTAAAAGCAATATCACAACAAAAATAAATAGAACACCAGCCAGAAAAGAAAATATAATCCAGCAGTGTTCAACATCCTGTGCAAGGGCTTTATTATAAGAAGAGCATTTATTGACAAAGGTATTAAAGGAAGATAAGCATTTCTGATGAAATTATTATTATTATTATTATTATTATTATTATTATTATTATTATTATTATTATTATTATT